TTGTGGCACATGTAGTCCAAAAAATATTTTACCTAGAGTCATAAGATTGACAGAACACTGGAGTGTGGGGGCACCCATGTCCCATGGACACATTTCTAGTTTCTTCTATATCATCTTTATCATGTGTAGCTTGTTTTGATCCAGGTGATGTTGTGCTGAAATAAAAAATAATTTATTTAAGTAAATCACTAGTAGGCCCCTATATTTCATTATTTTCAATGTTTTCCCAAGAAATATTAATAGGCAGTACAGAGTCCATGTAGCTACATGTGACCAACACGTTTGGCGATGCGCTTTTGTAAAGAGAAAATGTGTGAATAAGATCACTAAACTTACCGACTAATTAATGTAATAAGTATGCCCCCAATTTATCCAAATTGACATGAATCACTGCTTAATATCTGTTTATTTTTTGTTTATTGATAATAATGATTTGCCAATACCGAAGATGTCAACCGTTCAATTTCAACACTCAATTTCAACACTCGCTAAGTTATCTCGCCGCATTTCATTAGCTTTTCAATTTTACCGACCAATGAAAATACATTAAAAAATGGCTTTGAAATAGGAGGAGCGTAGACGATACTGACTTGGTTGACACTTAAAAACTTATCGCAAGCGTTTATCGAAAATTAGGGTGACTTTGTTTTCGCTTTTCTAGGCGAGAAGGAGAGAGACAAGGCGACTTTGTCGCCCAAATTGCCTAGAAACGTGATCCCTGTCTAGTTAATAGCTTGGAGGAGTTCGAAAATGGGTCATCTTTGATGAAACTAGGTCACAGGAGCTTAAAATAGAAAATTCTTGTGAACTCTCTAGTGGCTACTGTTGTTATCCAAATATTCTGGAAATCAGTCTGCAAGTTTGTTTTGATGATTTCTAGATCAAGTTCGAATATGGGTCACATGAGGTCAAAAACTAGGTCACACTGCCCAAATATTGAAAAACCTTGTTAACACTCTAGAGTTCACATTTTTGACTCAATATTCATCAAACTTTGTCAGGATGGTTGTCTAGGTAATTGCTCGGACGAGTTTGAACATGGTCAGTATGCTTGTCTAAATGGCCTGGCGACAGTTACATTCATGACAAGGCTAGGTTTCAGATTTAAAACCGCCCGGCATTCGCAAAATCGTCAAAGCCACCGATGTTGTTAAAATCGTTAAATTAATAGGCATAAGAACAATCTGAACCAAACACAAGTTTGGTTGTTTTGGATGATTTCTAGGTCAAGTTAGATGTACTTCTGCTATGACTTCACAGTCATTCCAAAGAATCGATTTTCCTTTCTTTTCTCAAACTCAGCAGATGACATCAGTTCATTAGAATAATTTACGGATCATTTAGTAATAGTCGAAATCGGCATCAAAAAGCGACATGGATTTTAAGTCAAGAGGATTTCTCAAGTAATCTTGAGTATAAAATTATATGAGATTTTACCTGTTAATTATTTTTGCTATCAGACAATGAAGTATTGATATATTCTTATTTTATCACATTAATAAGTTTTAATTACATGGGATATCAACTATTAGTAACTCTGTCATTGCACCTGTTTTTACTTTGAATTTCTGTTAGGTTCTCTTGCCACCCTATTTTATTTCCTATACCCTTTAAGGTTTTGCTTTGAAACCTTAAATACTTGTTAGTGACTATCATCCCCACTTCCGAGCAAGGGGACATAACTCTGTCATGGATTTTGATAAGATTATGCCCTTTTTTCAACTTTGGTAGTCAACATAATTATTTTTTTTGATGTCAAACTCTAACAATTAATGCAAGTTATACTATTAAAAATTCAAAATTTTAGAATTTTTTGTAATATTTCAAATTAAGTAGTATGTAAATTCATTAAAATATAAATAATTCTGTATTCAGTGTTCCCACCACCATTTTTCCTTAGGGTTTTTTTTACCCCTTACCTTGGAAAACTGGGGGTAAAATGAAAAATCAGGGGGTACAGAAAGATAAATGTGTACAATGTATATATAGAATGGTTAAAGTACTAATAAAGTCTTTTTCAAAAGTTACTGTGTTTATTCATTTCTTTCTTCAGACATAGCAAAATTTGTACATTACATGAAAGATCATAACAATGTACTTAATTATTTTTAGCAAGCTCACATGCTCTAGAGATAACCTCATTTTGATAAAAGTCTGCTCTATTTGCTCCATATGCAATGATCATTCTGTTTTCAACCAGTAACATTATGCTACTTTTGAAGAGCTGTCAAACTCTTCACAAACACGGCAATGCATAGTAAGAACTTGGTTTCGGGATAAAAAGCCTTTTGAAGGGTTTGTAGGACTCAAATTTGATTGAATGTAACGATTTTTTAACGTAGATGTCTCGATTCTTAATTCGACATTTTTCCGATATTACTAAAAAAAACACAGTAATATCGGAAAAATGTCGAATTTAGAATCGAGACATCTACGTTAAAAAATCGTTACATTCAATCAAATTTGAGTCCTACAAACCCTTCAAAAGGCTTTTTATCCCGAAACCAAGTGCCTATGAGTAAGAGTTGTATTATCATAGCGTAACCATGAAAATTCAGATAGCCATTCATTTCTAAACTTAAGAATTCTTTTCGACTTTTTGCTAGATTGTTCAGCCGCCTGCAGCACATTATTTTCATTATTTGTTTGAGAACTGGATGGGGATATCGTCGGCGTCTCAGCATTTCCTTTTCCGAAAATATCGGTTATTTTTCTCTGCGCCATAGCGGTATTTACAGACTAACGGTATGACGTACATACTAATGACGTAGCAAAAACATGTGCGAATACGATTGACTGTGTCGCGAATTAATTCAATAAAATGTACGTATTTATTAAACAACCAGTCGAATATGTAGGTATTTTCCAGTTACGTCATTCCATTACGTTTCGGAAGTTCAATTTAGCGGGTGCGCGTGCTAAAAATAGTAACAAGTACCTGATGAAGTTCCCGATTGTTCTTTGTTTTATTTAATAATGAGAAGTATTTCCTAGTTACGTCATTCCATTACGTTAAGCCAAATACCCGATTGAGTTCCCGATTTTTCTGTGCGTATTTTTACCCCCTTACCTAAATTTCTGTACGTGAACGGTCGATTTTATGCGTAAAATACGCACATTTGTGCGTAAATGGGAACACTGGTATTATATTTAAGATTTCATTGAAAATTTAATGGTATAATCAATTATCTATAAATAAGCTCTAGGACTTTCACCTGGTATCAGTTGCTTTATGTTAAACTGAAAAGTTGAATAGCAGTCTTAATTTCATAAATGCATAAAATGACATGTATAAACTTATTCACTAACAATGAGAATATGGATTTATTAAAGTTAAAAAGTTGTCATTAAGTGCTTCACAAAAGTGAATGTGAATAAGTTGAACTGCTGTATGTTTATTGTTAGTTGTACATCTCTCTATACAATGGTAAACAATCATGTGAATGTTCTTCATTTTAACAATTTAAACAATCATTTTTTTCTCATTGAAATATTAGATATGGTAATTAAAGAATTAGTTTTTATTTGTGATATGACGTGATATGATCTAACCTTGATCAAAATAAATAAACTTTACATTTATGGTTTTAGGATTAAAGTAAATATGCATAATATGTTTTGAATTACTATGTTATAAAATCTAGAGTATGTGATATTAAAGGCACATCATGCTTCAAAAATGAATTTTAAAAAATCATTATATAGAAAAGACAAACATGAGTTAATGATATTGAAATAATGGTTTTAAAGCATTTTAGATGCTTATCTCCCCTGAGTTTGAAATGATTATAACAATATGTAAACAAAGAAGTGTTTTGTGTACCATTCAAAATGACAAAATCGCTACATTTTTACTAATTGCCAGAATGCTACCAAAGCAAAAGTTCAGGTAATAAGGTCAATTGAGTAACTTTTTGGAAACCTTTACAGGGCACAAACAAATTATAAGCTTTTGATAGCATTTCTGGGGCATAATGGGCCTTTAAGCTAAGTGAAGAAAGCATTCTTACTCAAAGATCATCCTATAGAAGCAAATACCTTATTCTATCAAAATACAAAAATATAGTTAATGATAGTATAGAGCCTAGTAATACTGCATTGACATGCATGCTGGCCTAAATGCTCGGTACTTTTAAGGCAGTTAACAAAAGTTTAATAATTATTACTTTTGGTTCCAGAAGGTCAAGGGTTAAAGTTTATTTCACCAATAAATGTGACGTTAAAGTAGAAAAATGACTTAAGTGTATAATTTAGTACTTTCACACGATTGTTTGGTCAGCATTGTTTGCTTGAAAGATTTTGACCTTTATTATTAAGACTTCGAAGTCCAATATTTGTTACACAATAATCAACCTGTACATAGGCAAAAGGTCAGTAAATGGAACAATTTTCAGAGAGCTTATTGTACATTTATTACATATTTTTCTGGTTTTGAAAATAGCAGTAGCTTGACAGAACTACCATTTCTAATTTTCTATTTTTTTAACCACACCTGTCCAAGAAGTTAAAAAGAAGGATGCATGTAGATTCTCCTTAATGTTGGAAAGAAATAAAAAAAAAATTCTTCCTGTGGAACCATACATTTTGAATAGCAGTACTGACAATCATTTTGATAAGAATTTTAGTTCATTCTTAAAATTACCGAAGTCTACTTTTACAATGTGTCCATAAACGTTGATAGTTTCCATATAAAACTATTAATCTAATCTAAGATTCTAATTAAAGTTGCATCTAATATAGGTCAACATAAGTGATAAACTAAGAATAATTCTGCTATAATAGCCTTATAAATGAAATTATTTCAGAAAAGTTTAATGTTTATGGAAAATACATGTGTTGCAATTTATATATAAGAAAATTATGCATTGGAAACTTGTATGTCCATACAGTCATGTAAATATATGTTTATTTACATAAATATTTGTTGTTTATGTTACAAGTAGATTTGGAATTTATTCCTGGAAAATTCTTAATCCTGATGTAAATTTACTTTATTTCAGAATGAAAACCAGTATTGGAATACAACAGATCCTGATTTCTCCGAATGTTTCCAGAAAACTGTGTTGCTATGGATACCATGTGGTTTCCTGCTTTTGTTGGCCCCGGCTCGGATCTTGATTTTACATAACAGCGACCACAAACATATCATACCATGGTCATGGCGCAGCCGAACAAAATTGGTAAGGATGACATATAGTTAGATTTTCATATTAAAAAAAAAATGATTTTAATTTTTTTAAACAGTATAAACTGCTTGATGTGTAAGAAATACGATAAGAGATTGGTTCATAGTATAATACATGTAAATCTCGATCAATGCTTTTGGGAGAGGGGGTGTACTAGGACTGTCATTAACTCATTATTGAAAATTACTATGTTGATATGTCATAGATATTAAACATTGAGTCGATATTGATTCGCAATTTAGAATATATCATTTGAAATCCATGTCTCCTGTGAAATATTTTTTTTGTCTGAAAAGAGAAATCAAGTCCCTCCCCTTTTTGTGTCGCCTTGAAAAAGTGACATATAGGGGTTACTTTTGTCGGCAGCGTGGGCGGTGTCTGTGTCGTTGTTGGCGTCATTGTCGGCGTCGGCGTCCCCTAAAGCTTGTCCGGAGCATAATTCAGTCACTATAAGTCTGATTGACTTCAAACTTGGTATGCATGCTTCTTTAAATAACCCGAAGTGCAGTGCACAAGGACCGGTACTCTGCAGTTCTTATTTTTTGAGTTATTGCCCTTTGTTAATTTTCATACTTTACTTTTGTCTGGGCCATTTCTCTTCAACTAAAAAAGCTATGGACTTGAAACTTCATAGGATGATAGATCTCATTAAGAAGAAGTGCAGTGCACAAGAACAAGTACTCTGCACTTCCTAATTTTTGAGTTATTGCCCTTTGTTAATTTTCATACTTTAATTTTGTCCGGGCCATTTCTCCTAATGTATAAAAGCCATGGACTTGAAACTTCATAGGATGATAGGTCTAATTAAGAAGAAGTGCAGTGCACAAGAACAGGTACTCTGCATTTCTTATTAGCTCACCTGTCACAAAGTGACAGGGTGAGCTTTTGTGATCGCTTTTAGTCCGGCGTCCGTCCGGCGTCCGTCCGTCCGTAAACTTTTACTTTAAATGACATCTCCTCATAAACCACTAGGCCAATTTCATCCAAACTTCACAGGAATGTTCCTTTGGTGGTCACCTTTCAAAATTGTTCAAAGAATTTAATTCCATGCAGAACTCTGGTTGCCATGGCAACCGAAAGAAAAAACTTTAAATATCTTCTTTTGAAAAACCCTAAGAGCTAGAGCTTAGATATTTGGCATGAAACATCTTCTTCTAGTGAGTGTCTACCAAGTTTGTTCAAATAAAAGCCCTGGGGTCAAAATTGCCCTGGGGGTCATTGATTTTCCCTATAAGCATATAGTAAATACTTAAAAATCTTCTTTTAAAGAACCCAAAGAGCTAGAGCTAAGATATTTAGCATGAAACATGTTCTAATGAGTGCCTACCAAGTTTGTTCAAATAAAAGCCCTGGGGTCAAAATTGGCCCTGCCCCAGGGGGTCATTGATTTTCCCTATATGCATATAGTAAAAACTTAAAAAATCTTCTTTTAAAGAACTCAAAGAGCTAGAACTAAGATATTTAGCATCAAACATGTTCTAATAGGTGTCTACTAAATTTGTTCAAATAAAAGCCCTGGGGTCTAAATTGGCCCTGCCCCGGGGGTCATTGATTTTCCTTATATGTGTATAGCAAAAACTTAAAAAATCTTCTTTGAAAAAACCCAAATAGCTAGAGTTTAGATATTAAGCATGAAACATGTTCTAGTGAGTGTCTACAAAGTTTGTTCAAATAAAAGCCCTGGGGTCTAAATTGGCCCCGCCCCGGGGGGTCATTGATTTTCCTTATATGTGTATAGCAAAAACTTAAAATCTCCTTTGAAAAAACCCAAATAACTTAGGTTAGATATTAAACATGAAACATCTTCTAGTAAGTGTCTACAAAGTTTGTTCAAATAAAAGCCCTGGGGTCAAAACTGGCCCCGCCCCAGGGGTGTCATTGTTTTTAACTATATGTGTATAGTAAAAACTTAAAAATCTTCTTTTAAAAAGCCCAATGAGCTAGAGCTTAGATGTTTAGCATGAAACATCTTCATATGGGTGTCTACCAAGTTTGTTTACATAAAAGCCCTGGGGTCAAAATTGGCCCCGCCCCAGGGGGTCATTGATTTTCCCTATATGCATAAAGTAAAAACTTAAAAAATCTTCTTTTAAAGAACTCAAAGAGCTAGAGCTAAGATATTTAGCATCAAACATGTTCTAATAGGTGTCTACCAAGTTTGTTCAAATAAAAGCCGTGGGGTCAAAATTGGCCCCGCCCCGGGGTCATTGATTTTCCTTATATGTGTATAGCAAAAACTTAAAAAATCTTCTTTGAAAAAACCCAAATAGCTAGAGTTTAGATATTAAGCATGAAACATCTTCTAGTAAGTGTCTACAAAGTTTGTTCAAATAAAAGCCCTGGGGGTCAAAACTGGCCCCGCCCCAGGGGTGTCTTTGTTTTAACTATATATGTAATGTAAAAACTTAAAAAAATCTTCTTTTAAAAAGCCCAATGAGCTAGAGCTTGATGTTTAGCATGAAACATCTTCTTATGGGTGTGTGTGTGGGGGGGGGGGGGGGGGGGGCTATATACAGGTGAGCGACCTCAGGGCCATCATGGCCCTCTTGTTTTTTGAGTTATTGCCCTTTGTTTATTTTCATAGTTTAATTTTGTCCGGGCCATTTCTCCTTAACTATAAAAGCTATGGACTTGAAACTTCATAGGATGATAGATCTCATTAAGAAGAAGTGCAGTGCACAAGAACTGATACTCTGCATTTCTTATTTTTTGAGTTATTGCCCTTTGTTGATTTTCTTACTTTATTTTTTTCCTGGTCATTTCTCCTCAAGTATGAAAGCTATGGACTTGAAACATCATAGAATGATAGATCTAATCATCTTATTGATAAGAAGTGCAGTGCACAGAAACTGCTGCTCTGCACTTATTATTTTTTTAGTTATTGCCCTTTTGTTATTTTTCATATTTCATTTTTGTCCTGGCCATTTCTCCTAAACTACATTGTTCACAAGGCGACACATCCGACTTGCGGAGTTCTAGTTCTTGACTACATGTAGCTTCATGTATCTGGAATTTAAATTAGTTGTTGTATTTGCAACGACTAAATAAGGTACTCCTAACTCCATGATGACAATTTGGTACACATATTCAAATTTTTATCACAGTTGTGTGATTGGATACATTATCAACATTAAGCTTTCAATATATTGATACAAAGTTTCCCATCAATGTCAGCCGTAACATTTCTTTTAATTTGTTGTTGGTACTTGTGTTAGGTTATGTTATATGTTATAATCATATGAAATAATCATACAAACAAACTAGTAGGAAATATTCAAAGAAATGAGTTACCATGACAACAAAAAACATTCATATTTCTGTACTTCAATAGCAAAGAAAAAAGTGCAATGCAAATAAATGCCTGTGAATTTGAAGTTAAATCTCATTATACTTCAAATATTTCTCTGAAATTCAGAATACCACTAATGTAGGTTTGTTTATATTTATCTTACGATTGTTTACTTGTTCAGATTATCTGGTTTTCATTTTAATTACCTTGCACTATTGGAGCTTCCACTTACATCAATATAATAAATTTGACGAAAATACAATATTAAAATAAAAGTTCAAATCAACTGAATGAAATATTTATGCTCATGCAAGGATAAATTATATTGAAATTTGTTTTTTGGTTGAGATATATAAGGTAGGTATCAGAGAAATTTCTACTGTGAAAATTTGATAACATATATGGTTTTACTTCCTGGTTTATTTGTTAATCTTTAGCCAATACTTTATCAGATTGATTTGATATTGTACTTAAATATAATTAATGATACATAAAGGTTGTCAACAAGACATCCACATGTCTGTTTTATTTTGTATGCATTATTCTGTTGTTGTATTTTAAAATACAAATACATTGTATTTGTTACATCAAATCTATGCATGGAATGTTAAATATAAATGTCCTTGGTAAAGGTTGTATAAAAATAGGTTACTTTTAAAGTCATGCATACATGTAGTATATGCACTTCACAGTTATATTGATCAACTTAAATGTAAACCCTTAAAAGAATTAAGATATAGTCTTTCTTAGATGTTGTTATTAAAGGACATTGTTATTGGTACTGAAGCCTCATGAAAGCTGTTAAGTAAGTCACACAACTGTATAATATAAGCTTATCCCAGCAAGTCAAAACAAACATTTTAGCTGGTGCCAGGTGGTGTTAATAGTTTTCACTTTGGATCACGGCAGTAAGCCATATTGAATTTACCAGAGTACAGTTCAGCCACTGCATCGTTCCTGGGCAGGCTGTCAAGCAGTTTACCAGAACTAATTGCCTTCACTTTCCCAAGGAACTGATAACTCTCTATACATGCCAGACCATTTGCGAATAACCATAAAAAGAATTTCATAATCAATCACAATGAAAGTGACCTGTACTATCTGAGAATCAAACCTGGGTCGCCTGATTCACACGCCAATGCTTGACCTTGTAATTGAGCTAACCGGATGACTTTTTGCTTTTTGGCTTCCCTAAGCCCTATATTCAGTTGTATTATGTCATTCTAACACGTGCCTATAATAATAGTTTGATAAGATTTTTTTACTATCAACTCTTGCAACATTATAACAACTTAACCTCAATAACCCATAGGGTATTAGCCTGCTGAGGCTGAAAATGATAAGCCTTTGAAACCAGTTCACTGTAAGTAGCTAGATTTTTATGCCCCTGAGCCAATAGAAAGTTAACTGTTCATCAATTCTGTCTGTCTTCAAACACTCTGGGAACATGTATATGGGATGAACGTCCATGTTTGTTATGTACAGACTGACATGTGGGAAAAAGGCTGCATATGGCATAAACAAATGTTGCTAATTGAATGGGCTTTAAAGATCAAAGAAATAACCTATTTATGTCAACTTTGGAAAACACCACCCATTTTGTTTTCCCAATTTGGGTTTAACCTAACCCAGCTAGTTTAAAGTTTTCTTACATTTTTTAAATTCAAACCCTTTTACAAAGGGCTTCAAAATTTGATTAATTTAA